ACCACTTCCCATCCACAGACTGGATAGCTTTCATCCTACTTTCCTCATCGGCAAATTGAACAAAAGCAAACGTCAAGGCCTTATACTTTGATTTCTCTAGAGACCGTGGAATGAAAATTCTCCTAATTTGACCAAAAGGACTAAAATAATCCCTTAACACACGTCTTGAAACCCTTTTACTAAGATTATCAATAAACACAGTCCATTCCTCAACAGAAGCAATGGACTTCTTTGAAATTTCTGTAACACTCCAATTTAGGGGTTAAAATTTAAGAAATTATAAAATATTGGATTTAATTGGTATTTTGAAAGAAACAGTGGGTTAAATTGTAAAATTTTAAAGTTGACAGACCGTTTTATGAAGTGCAGGAAGTTCAGTGGCTAAACTCATAGTTTACCCATTTTTCTTTTGGAATGAATTATAAACTCATTCTCGTATGTTTTCTGTGCATATTTCCCAGATTTTCTTCTCCAACAACCCCTCTTTCAACTCCGATCTACTCGCCGTCCGACCTCCGATCGACGAGCCGAAACCACCATCGTGTTCGTTGTCAACCGAGGAACAAAACCCCTCAAACCTTTCATCGTGAATCGTCGTCGTTCGTCGTTAATTTCAGTCGGAAGTACCGTCGGTAATAACTCGATTTCAATTGGTTTTTCATCGATTCACGACAATCGGGTCATCCGTTTACGACACCTCCCGCACCATCGTGTTCCTTGCATCGTTCCGAATCCGCCGGTGTCATCCTTGGTCTCCGTCGACGGCGGCGCGTGAGAAGGTGAAGCGGTCAAAGTTTCTGATTCGTTAAAATCGAGCTCTCCGCCGTTCAAAATTGTGAACCGAGCTTTGTAAGTATCTCGAAATCGCTCAAAATAATTTTTAAGAATTTTTCCGGGAATTTAGCACTGTTCACGCGCCGCCACTGCGCGTGGGGAAGGAAAAATGACCGGTTTGACCGGTTTTGTAACCCATTTGACCGGTCATAACCCGACCCGACCCGTTGACTGGCGTTGACCATTGTTGACCAAAACTTTGATTGGCTTTGACCGGGTATTAAACGACCTTTGACTTTGACCGAGTATACCTATCCTGACATTTTTCGACGTTCCAAATCCGATTCCGCAGTCTGTTTTTCGAAATTCGAACTCGAAGGCCTCGAAATTGCCGGTCAAACCCGTTGACTTTGATTTTGACCGAAAATTTCGAATTTCCGAAAATTCATATTTTATGCTTTCGACGTCCTGAATCCGAATCCGAAGTCCGAAGTCCGTTTCGCCAAATTCGAACCCGGTAAGTTGTTTCACTGATTTATTACCCGATTCGATCCGTTTATCGTAATTAAGCTCCGTTTTTTATATAATTTATGTTGATATGTATATGAGAAATTATTGGAAGTTGAATTGAAGATAAAAGGCGTTCGAATGAAATTTTTATGGTCGATCAATATTGTACGGAAATCGAGGTAATACTTTACTACCTCTTTATGCTTTATGGAACATGTTTATATTGATAAATGCATGAACAAGATAATGTTGGTCACTTTGGTGGAGTTGAATAATTTATATACTCGATATGATGTGGTAGAAATTCTGTAACTGATTACGGATCGAATGATTAATATAAGAGATTGAGGAATTGTTAGATTAAATTACATGTTTGTGATTAGTGATAAAGAAATCAACCCTGTATATGCAACTTATAATTTATTTCATCAAAGGTTAAATGTTAAGGTATTTGGATGAGAAATTGTGAGAATAATCTAGTAGGATAAAATTACGAAAATACCCTTATGTTGTAAGATGACAAGAATTATCCCTGGAAGTTGGTTAGTAATCTCTGAAAAGACATATTGATCAGGTAAAAATTATTGATGCGCATAAGAAATGCTAGTTTTGATTAGGAAATGCGGATAACCGGTTTTTAGTCTTATGAGGGTTTGTAAAGGATACTAGAAGTCTGTTAAGGGAATCATTTCAAGATGAGAGAGTTTTCAAGAAATCAATTAATCATAAGATCTCTAAATTATAATTATTTTCGTTAAGAGCTAATATCGAAATTATCTGGTTAAAAAATTAAGGAAATGCCCTTGAGAGGTAAAATAGTCCGAGTTGGCCCTGAATGAGAAAATACTTTGAGGATTCGTACTTAACTCGATTAAGTACGGATTTGATTGTTAAGATCTTGACTTAGTTCACTAAGCTCAAGAATGATTGGATATCTTTGAGCTCTGAAATAAATGGAATAAAAATGAACACCAAAATTACCAAAATACCCTTGTGTCCTATTTTAAGTAAATGCCTTGGATTAATTAAGGAATCCAAATAAGCATAGTTGTTGGACTACCTTTAGAAGTTATGGATCACAACTTGAGTTGATCAATCTTAAAGATATGTCAGTACCTGAGCGGTATAGATGTTTCTTGAATGTGTGTTCGTCTTCTCAAGTGTGGTTCGATGATAATTTTGAAAGTACTCAGCTCAACTCTGGATCACATCCGGTACTAAGAAATAAATATTCGTTAGAGAAATCAACCAAGAAGACCAAATTGAATGGATCTGAAGTACAATATATATCTGAAATATAGGAACGTTTGTATTACTCTGACAAACCCCGAAGTAACTGGAATGGACTTGACTGCTAAATAAGCTAAGTAACCTCAATGATTGAGGATTAAGTAAGTGAATTGGATAAGTCTGGAAATTCTGATGAGTTTATAAGATGTACTGTCCTTATGGAACATAAACTGAAAATCAAGCACGTCAGTATTTCATGATATCGTGGAAGTTTGGGAATGAAATAAAGATCATTGGAAGATCTATTCAGCAATGATTCTGAAGATAATATATGAACAAGAATTTGTGGTATTAAAAAGTAAATGTCCTGGAAGGAAAATGAATTGACCAGTGGACATAAATTGTTAAGGTTCTAAATCTTCGTTCTCAAGTTGTTCGATTATCCGATCAATTGACATGGATGTAAAGGATTTTGAATACCCTTCTGATTACGTACAACTTCTGAAAATTGTCCGAATAAGATATGATCCTGATAATTCACATTCTGAATAACTGATGATTCCGTCAGTTATTGAACTTTTTACAATAGTGATTCTAAATTCCGACATTTTATCAGTATACTGAAGATCCGTCTTTCTCTACTTGCTAAGATTATCCAGTACCTTTGAATAATATTTGTAAGCTCTGGTGTGTTCCCTAATTATATAATTATTTTATCTGACTTCCGACTTGAATTCTATTCTGACACATGACCTGAATTCTGTTCTGATTTCTGATCTGGATTTTGTTCTGATATATGTTTTGAATTCTGTTTTGATTTCTGATATCTCCGCTTAATGAAGGAAAAATGTTTTAAATAGGGGTATTGTTGAAGGAAGAATTTTCGCAAGTTCCTCGGCTTTGTGCTCAGGGCCTTATATGATGTATTGGGTTGGGTGTATGGTTCTGGGGAACCTACACATTATGATGTGTTGGGATAGGGGTATATATATATATATATGTTTTAAAAAGATCTGAAAAGTTATATGGTTTTGGGAATACACTAGATAACCTATTATGATCTCATGAACTTAGTCATCCGAAATATTTCTCTGAACTGAAAGCTCATTGTCCGTTACCACCTGAAATATTAGTAGGATCTCTGCTCAGCATAAAAATCTGTAGATGTTCGGAAACAATAAGGAAATATATATTTATCTGTATCTGCACATTCATCAGCATCATCTGGTAGTTTTGTATTACTGAGCTTTTAGAAACTCACTCTGTTACTCACCTTTTCAGGTTAAAATAATCGTATCAGTGCGGTTATCGACTTCAGTAAAGGAATTCCTCCGGCGTTGTTTGCAGAGTACGATACATGTGATTAGGGGGCATGTAATTGTATTTTGATTTATATACGAGTCTGGAAATCTGTTTTATTTTTAAATAGTGACAACTGATTTTATAAGTTACACGTTTCAATAAAAGTTTTAAATTTTCCGCTATTTTTACAGTGGGTCGCTCCGGTGGCCCTAATGTGACTTCCCGGATTGGATCGGGCTACCCGCATCGGTCTGGGGAGTTACAATTTCTCTGATCCTCTCTACCTATCGCACTCGTTCTCAATTTTTTCCTTGTTTTGATTTTTGCTTCTCATGAATAGGGAACGTTCTTGCAAAGGGTGGAGAAGTTTATGAAAATTCTAGAGGATTTGTTTTCTGGATGGTGCCAAAAAAGAGAGACAAGTTTCACTCACTAAATAGATGAGATATGATTTTGAATTCCAAAATATTAAATTTACAACAAACTTCTAAATCAATTTCTTTATAACTTAATTTTATAAAACAGATGAGTTTCAACAATACATATCTATTACATGTCTAATACGTCCAAAATAAAACTATGAAGGGTCCCAAATGCAATTAAGAGTAGCAAGCCTTAAAATTGTTTTTAAATAAACTGTTCCTACGAATTCCAAAATATTAAATTTACGACAAACTTCTAAATCGCTTTCTTTGTTACTTATTTTTATAAAACATATGAGTTTCAACATTACATATCTATTACATGTTTAATATGTCAAAAATAAAAATATGAAGGGTCCCAAATGCAATTAAGAGTAGCTAGCCTTAAAATTGTTTCTTAGATGAGATTCCAATTAAATCCCCTTTTACAAAAATTAGATTGCATTCATACAGTAGTCATCAAATGGTTCCCTACGGCTTATTTTTAAGACCTTTACCGAATGCAAAAGTCGGAGTCTCAGGCCATTCTTAAATAAAGAAACATGGAGTAGATATAAGAATCCAAAGAGGGCCCTTCATAATGATAACAGAAATTATACTAAACTAAATATAGAAGTAATGACAACAGAAATTAATGATTCTCATGTTGCGAAAGCAGAGATGTATTGGTTGTGATGGCCCTTCATATATTGCACTAAACTAAAAAAATTGCAAGATTCAGAATGTATTGAATGCACTTAATAAGTTGAAATTTACAGGCACCTGGAGGAGACGTGTTGTGCTCACAAATATAAAGTCTCATTCCTCCCTGCATAATTTTGCAATATAAGCAACAATGTTGTACAAAATGATATACCAAGAAATATAAAACATATAAAAATAACTTATGATACAAATTATTCATAAGAACATATAGAAAAGATTTTTCAGCTCAAGAATTATACACAAAACTTGTTAGCAGCAATATAGGTGATTACAATGATTCATTCTTTAATGAGTTTTAAATTCAGAAAGACATACTATACAAATGGGATTGGAAAACAGGTTTTATTTTTATATGTTGAAGGGAAACCATGGAAAAAATAGCAAGTGTTTCCATAAGTTGAGCTGCTAAAGGGGCTGGACACAAAAGCTAGAAGCTCATGGTAGCAGGGAACCAAAAGCAAGGGAGACTAGAGAAACCAAATGGGAAGGGAGCTCCACAGCCTTACAAAATCTTCTAGGATCCTAATATGGTAACATTCTTGTAATTGAATCAGAAAATGCTATAATGACACAGTGAGATAATCAAAAAGCTGCTATCGAAGAAGTATATTGAATCTTGATCCCATTGAAATACAAAACATGAGGAAATTGTTCCACCTTGAAGAGTAGAGCACAAGATATCCATAAACAGGCTATCTCCAAAAGTCTCATTACTTAACATAAGAAATGAACAACATATAATGAAGAAATAATAGGTTAGTATGGTATCAAATGAATCCATGGAAATGAATTCATGCTTAAAAGAGAATGCTAAATAGGTAGAGATGACATTGCATTTGATTGGTAGATTTGAGTATTTGATACTCAAATTACAATAAATTATCCAAAGGCGAAATTAAGAACCCTAAAATAACTTTACCAAGGAAAACCAAATAATGGTAATTCCAAATACCCAAAGAGGTCGTATTCTAAAACGCATCCCTTGACAAATCATTTTTATTTTATTAATATAGAATCCTCATTAACTAGTAATAATCTGCTAAAACCCTAGCAACCCATCATTCAAACAAAAACTTAATCGCATTCGGAAGAGGAAGTATTCATCAATAAAACCCATTAATCCAGATAGCCTAAACGCTCGGTTTAAAACCCTAAAATAATTCGGCCCTGTTTAATGATTATTCTCCTAAGCTAACCACGATCCTTCTTTTTTCAGTAGAAATACTTTACTTAACAAAAGAATGTCACACTTCTTTTTCTGGTCGCATTTTCACGGCCGATCAAAGTATTAAGAAATGAAATTCATTAAATAAGCGAGTGAGAAGAAATGGGTAAAAACCAGATTGGAGGAGATGAAGGCGGAGGAGATGTGGCCGCGGGAGGGAAGGTTGGAGAGGAACTTTGAGGCGCTGGACGCTGTTTGATGATGATCGAAGGGCTGGGAAGAAGAGCCTCCATTGGACTTTGAAAAACAAAAATACTCGCTCCAAAGCAAAAATGGCGAAAGAAGAAGAGGGGCAGCGTGAATCTTTTCCTGCTATATATCCGCCATCGTTTTGACCTTTTAGACATAGCAATAGCATATATGGATTTTAAATGACAAATTTATTGGTGGATTAATTAAGATGTCACCTAGGGATGGAAAACTAAATCGAAATTAATCTAGACATTTATGAGATATTATAAATTACTATTTGTTTATCATTTTTTTAATTATTAACAGTACACATATTTAAATATAAGCATGGTTTAGGTCGTGTCATATTTTATATCAACCTGATCCGACCCGAAAAATATATTCTCCACCTGAAATACGATTCGATCCGGATTTAAGGTAATTTAACCAAACTCAAAACTCGTTTTGTCTTTGGAGCTAAACTCAAATCCAACCTGACCCGACTAGGCTCGACATAAATATATTTATAAAATTTTTCTTACTTTTATTCAATAAAATAGAGATATAATTGAAAAAATAATATAAATAATTATATTATTGTAATTATCCTTAAATATATAAAGTATAATTTCATTATTTTTTGGGTTGAATCGGATTAAATATTTTTTACCATAAATCTAAACCTAACCCGAACCCGAAATAAATAAAAAATCTAATCCAACATGGTCTAATCGAAAACCCATCAGATTCAAATCTCATGTCCATCCCTACATATTTTATGCAAAAACAACTATTATTTAAACATTCATCTTTTTTTATTAGTTTAAGAGTGATTATTTAAAATTTTATTCGTACGAACACAATTGTTTAAATTTAAAATCTCTAAAAAGAATAAAATTCTTTTTTTATTATTAAAATAGTTGAACGAGTTCGGAAATATATATATCTTTTAAAAAATAAAAACATATTCATATCTGAAACTTATACTTAACCGAATTATTGCCCATGACCATCTCAGTTGAATTCATTCCCTTCAAGGTTGAGGGTTGCAAGCAAGGTGTGCAAAATTTGATCTGTTTATCTGATCTGAAAATTTAAATATTTGATTCGTTTTTTTTTTATTTTTAGATAATTTGGATCGAATATTCATAAAAATTGGATGATCCTGGCCCAATAAATGAGTAACCCACTGACTCATTAAAACTCTATCCCAATAAAAAGTAGCATATTCAATTATTTATTGTGTGAGAGTAATTATATATATAGAAGAGATATTGAATAAATTACATTAAATCGCAAAATTTAAAATTAATTTTTGTCAAATTATATTTTATATTCGAATATAATTATTTAGATATTTGATCTAAAAATTCATATATTTATTTTCTCGGATCTAATATGGATCATATTTTAGATAATCAAAATTTTTGAATCAAATCAAATATAATATCTGAATTTACACACCCCTAATTACAAGTGCATGGAACTTTACTGCCGCAACTTAATAATATGTCAGCCTTTCTTGGTCTAATAGAACATCTAATAGTATGTTTCGTTACATCTCATGCATCCACCGTGGATTTGGTAGATAGCATGAAAAAGAACTACTACTTTTAGTTGTTAGATAAATTATCATAAATAATATTAAATTTTAGTTTTTTATCAATTTAACCTCTACATAAAATTATTTTTCGTTGTTGGTGAATCACTATTCATCTTCTATCGTTATTCACAACAAAATTACGTTGTCGGTCAATCACTATTAATAGTTTATTGTTATTCACAGTAAAATTAGTATAAAAATGTTTGCATTTCATTCATCTTTCTTCACTTCAAATTATTTTTTTCATGAAATTCACTTAAAATTAATGAATATCTATCTAAAAATTTGACGTTCTAATGCTCTAACCTCCTCTGATGGTTTATTGGTGTTTCTATTTTCAATATATGTTTTTCGCCTTCTCGAAAGAATGCTTCTTATAATTCGAATTTTCAAACAAATACTTCAAATCCATCATATCCAAAACAAAAAAAAAAAAAAAAAGTCTTCAGAATCCCAAAATACTATTTTTTATATGTTTATTCTCGTGAGTTATAAAAATATTTTTTAAAAAGTTTAATTCGATAAAGTAATAAAAGATATCTCTGAAGTAACCGTAAAATATATTAAAAATGGAGTAACAATTTCCGACAACGAGCAAAAGTAATTGAAAGACCCTTCATTTTGATAGAATATGATATGGAATAAAAAAATTATTTTTGTAACTTCAATATTAGCTTATGTCAAAAGTAAACTACCATGTTGTCCAAATATTATTAGTCTAACAATCTAATGTTTTAATTGAACTCAAAATTAAAATGCAATGCTAAAATTAAATAATTTAAAATTCAATAATAAATCACATTTAGAGTAGTTTTCCGTAATTGTTATGATGATGCACCCATAAATAGGATGTTTAGGTTGAAAAATGTGTTGCCATGTGCCATATTAAGACATGGTGGCTTTGTTGCCTGTACTTTTCATTCATTCTTTTTAAAGTGCTGCTGTTAACACATGTTCTAACACGAGTACGAAGATACGATCTACTATGTACGTATCTAAAACTTGGTGCATTGAATTTGACAAATCTTCGTTAACTCATGATACCATACAGGTTCGGGGTACCTCAGGGTCGTTCCACTTGGCCAAATTTCTTGTTTCGGAGCGATCAAACTCGTTTGTGGCCGGGGCGTTACTACTATAAAAGTACAGAATGAAGAGTGTTCCCATAGTTGATTTTGGTGATGGAAAGATCAAGTACATCCTCACACGGTCGGTTGTGATTCACATGTTAGCATAATGCACTGGGTTTCACTGGTTCGAAAGGCGCGGAGCTAAGAAACTTTCCGAGATTGGTCTTCTCGTGATCACAACTGAGCGACTTGTCAAGGTGAGTTGCTCCAATCAATCCAACTTGTGCACTGCAAAATGTTGTGTGCTTTAGGCTTGAGATGTTTGTTATATATATATTTCAGGTACAAGAAGATGAACCAGTGCTTCAAGCATTTAAGTTAACGAGTAAAAAGAGAATTGAAGCCTTACCCGTTGTTGATGGTGAAGGGAAAAAGTTATCGGTAACATAAGCCTTAGAGATATACAGTTCCTTTTGACTGCACCGAAGATCTACCTTGATTACAGACCGGTGATGAACTTACGCTGCAATAATTCACTAATAGCAGTTAAAAAGCACTTGTAGGAACACGACACGAGATCACCAATGTTGAGAGGCATGATCACCTGCAAAAGAGACCAAACGGTCAAAGAACTGATTCAGGCACTCGATCCGAGGAAGATCCAACGACTGTACATCGTCGATGACAATGGGAATTTGGAAGGAGTGATCTTGTTTCGAGACATCATTTTGAGATTAGTATAATCACCCGAATACTTTGGTGATTCCTTTGATGGTGTGTTGCCTCTAAGAAGCCCTCAAATCAACTTGAAAAAAAAAAGCAGACTAAATTTTTAATTTTCAAATTGAATAATTTGAGTTCTCTAAGAACTTGACTATATAATTCAAGTTAAATAATTTAAATTATTTCATTCAATCATTCAACCAATTCCAGTCGATTCTACTTTCTGGTTCGACTTGTACAGTTTTCTGAATCAACTAGACCAATCGGTCGAACTTCCTGGTCAGATCTGGTTTTAAATCCCAGATCTCAATCGATCTATGCCATTCATTTTCTCATTTGGTTAGACATCAAGAGCATGCTCCTAGCTGGCCAACAAACCATGAACCTAATTTTATCTCTGGCCTGCTAAAAATGCTACATTAACTACCAAATGGACCACAAGAGGATGTGCTGATTGAATGACTAATCAATCAGGGATCAAATGGACCATGCAGTTTATTCGTGAATAGGAAAAATGAAAAAAGAATTGGCCTAAAGGAAGTGCAATTAATGCAATCTTGCGGCCAAACAAGATCCAGCAGGTTCCTGCTGTAAAAGCAAAGACAATGCATGTTTATTTGCATCATAATGTATGAAACCATGTGGGTTGTACTTACGATTTCATGTTGCTGGGAAGCAGGGTGGTCCAGTTTCAACTTTCATGTCCCTCTTGTTGCTGGCGCTTCGTAGATTGCTCTTGCTGGCATGAAACTATATATTAGTTCAACACTCACAGGTCTGCTCAAAACCAAAACATAGCTGTTGGTTTCAAGCCTACAATAAATAGGCATCAGTATTAGTTAGATATTATAAAGTGAGAAGCTTTCATTTTGTTCTCAAACATTCGGGCACTTAGGAATTTTATGTGCAAGAGAATAATGTTACAGTCGGAGGAGAGGAACGAGGAGATGAACGGGGAAGAGAGGAAGAAATTGGGGAAACAATTGGGGGAAACAGCGATCTAGGGTTAGGGATTGAGGCTCGAGAGGGAATTGAAAAAGGGAATTTAGGGATTGGAAGAGGAGAAAAGGAATTGAAGCATTTACCTGATGAAGAGAAGTTACCTGATAAGGGTGCTGGCAGAAGTGGATAGGCCCAAGTCTTCATACAGGAGTAGTGAAGCAGCCCAGCTTGGTGGCCCAACAATCTGCAAGGAGAGAAGAATATTAGTCTGTTATAGGTTGTTAATTGTACAGACAGCTGGCTCATTATTAAATGACAATTGGAGCCCTGTAACTAAATAAAATGATGTAGAATCAATCTGAATGGGGATGTTATGAATGAACTAGCTATTCATCTCTGAATTCTTTCTAAATTTCTCTCTATTTCTCTTATCTATTCCTCGATTTCTCTTCTAATCGACTTAAACCATAACAAATTGGTATCGAGAGCCTTGGTTTTTGGCAAGTTGGTGGTATGCCCAAGAAAAATCAGAATATGGCAGAAGACTTAGCTGGGTTGCAGAAGCAGATGGAAGAACTGACAGCACTGGTGAAACAAGGACGAGATGAGTCTAATCCACCTAAATGGTGGGAGACTCAGGAAGAGAGGATTTCTACACTGGAGTCTAGATTGGCTACGAATCATGGATATGTGGAGGAAATCTTGAAGATTTTGACTGGCAGAAAAGAGGACCAAAATCAGTTTGAGGATCAGGTACATACCCTTGATTCATCTAATATGAGTAACAAACAACCTGTTAAGGTGACAGTAATCAATGATAAGACTCGGTTTACTTATAAACCGGATGAGCCTGGTATTCTTAAGTCTAAACCAAATGTCTTGTCTGCTCATATAGCTAGCTGCAAAAATGATAACCAAACGGGGGAGAACAGTGCTGCTAGAACTCAGTTAGTGGCTTTAGAAGTGGATAAAAGAGGTACAGGAGGGTCTTCTAGTATGTCAGAGATTATGTTGCATAGACCAAAAATTGAGCTACCATTTTTTGATGGAAGTAATCCCAGAGGTTGGTTACAGAAATGTCAAAAATATTTTTCATTACGTAGTATTGCTGATGAACAGAAGGTGGAAGTAGCTACAATGTACCTGACAGGTAAAGCAGAGATTTGGTTTGATGGGTATATTATGCAAAAACATCATGTGACTTGGCATGAGTTTGAGGCTGATTTATGTCATAGGTTTTGTGATAAAGCCTTTGTTGATATAGTGGAGGAATTTACAAAACTGGTCCAGAAAGGGTCTGTAGAAGAATATCAGGATAGATTTGAAGAACTACAACCTCACATGCTTCTGCAGAATCCTACTTTAGGTGAAGAATTTTTTGTCTCTTTGTTTATTAGTGGACTAAGGGATGACATTAAACACAGAGTTAAAGCTCTACACCCTAAAACATTATTTGAGGCAAGCAGGCAAGCTAAATTATATGAGCTCTCTGTGGAATTTGAGAGTAAGAGGTTCAGACCTTTTGTAAAAAATCCAGCTCATTCAATTCCTCTACCTGGTTCTAAAGCCTAACCAGCTAACACTACCACTGAAGAATACATCCACTACAACACAAAAACAGAACCTGATAGACTACAGGAGACAGAACAATTTATGCTTTAAGTGTGGTGAAAAGTTTGTTCCAGGCCATCAGTGTAAAGCAAAACAGTTGAATATGATGATTGAAGATGAAAGTGTCTTACCTTCAGAAATTTTATCTAATGATCCAGAACAGCAGAATTTACAGGAGGAAGAGAATCTAGAAATATCTATGAATGCCATTACTGGATGTATTGGTCATAATACATTGAGGATTCAGGGAACAATTCAGGGAAGACCATTGAATATACTAATTGACAGTGGGAGTACCCACAGTTTTTTAGCACCTCAATGGGCTGAGGCTGGCATACAGATAAATACTCTTCATCCTCTAGTTATTACAGTAGCTAATGGGCAGCAACTCTATAGTTCAGCAAGGTGTAATGAAGTGGAATGGAGGATGCAAGGGCACTCTTTTATACATGATTTCAGACTACTTCAATTGGGGGGCAGTGATATGGTGTTAGGGGTGGATTGGATGAGATTGTTTAGTCCAATCTTGATGGACTTTAATAAAATGACAATGAGCTTTGTGCATAAGGGGAAGCAAATCACTATACAAGGTCAACAACAGTCAAATTTCTTACAGCAGATTTCAGGAGCTACCCTATTGAAGATGACAGTTTCTGATTCTCCTCTTTTGGGACATGTAGTGTTATTCAATATGTGTGAAGATTCCAAGACTACTCCTACAGCTATCCAGCCTCTTCTGGACCAATATCAATCTATTTTTGCTGAACCTACAGGACTGCCTCCTACAAGAAACCATGACCATGCAATTCCTCTTAAACCTGAAGCTACCCCAATCAATTTAAGACCCTACAGATTTCCCTATATTCAGAAAGCTGAGATAGAGAAGCAGATTGCTAATATGCTTTCCTCCTCTGTGATTCAACCAAGCAAAAGTCCTTTTGCTTCTCCATGTCTTTTAATTAAGAAAAAGGATGGTACCTGGAGGTTTTGTGTTGATTACAGGAAACTAAACAGTATGACAGTGAAGGACAAATTTCTTATTCCTGTTGTGGAAGATCTACTGGATGAATTATGTGGAGCAGTCTATTTTTCTAAAATTGACTTAAGGTCTGGTTATTGGCAGATCAGAATTAAGCCTGAGGATATCTATAAGACAGCTTTCAGAACTCATCAAGGCCATTATGAGTTCAAGGTAATGCCCTTTGGGCTTACTAATGCCCCTGCTACATTTCAAGCATTAATGAATGAATTATTTAGTTCATTCTTAAGAAAATTTGTCTTGGTATTTTTTGATGATATTCTAGTCTATAGTACTTCTATGGCTGATCATATCATTCATTTACAATTGGTTCTGGAAGTTTTGAAAACTAACCAAGATGTCTAAATGTTTCTTTGGACAGACTCAAGTTGAGTACTTGGGACATATTATTTCAGCTTCTGGGGTTTCTACTGATCCTACTAAAGTAGCAGCTATGAAGAATTGGGCTGTGCCAAAATCTTTGAGAGATTTTTTGGGATTAACTGGTTATTACAGAAGGTTTATTAAGAATTATGGTACCATCAGTAAACCTTTGACTCAAATGCTTAAGAAAGACAATTTTCACTGGAGTACTGAGGCTCTAACTGCTTTTGAAAATCTGAAGTATGCTATGTGTGTTGCCCCTGTGCTAGCATTACCAGATTTTGGGAAGAGTTTTTATTTAGAAACAAATGCCAGTTCAGGAGGAATTGGGGCTGTCTTATCTCAGGATTTTTTTTTGATAAGAATTTCAGGCCTTGTTAAAAACCCCCTTCTTGATTGTTGGAGCTAGTAGTGTAGCTCCTTAATCAGCGGAAAGAGGAAAAGAGTGCCTAAGGATTTTATTGCACACAAGAGATTACAAAAGATACAACTTTACAAACACCTATAACAAAACCGATGAACAAAAACAACCTAAAACCACCAATAAATAGCACCACTAGACCAGCCAAATCCTTCATTAGGTAAGACATCAACCTCTAAATTGGCTGTCCTATTAACCAAATCTAACAACACCTAATGCAAAACAAACCAACATTACAACCAAAAACTTGAAAAAAAAAACGCCTCTGAAAACATATGCCAAACAATTAAGTATCAATTGGAGGATCAAGTTCTAATGAGATATCGCAATCTTCGGGGACCCAAGAGTTAGGTTTGAAGGATGGATCAACTTCATGCACCATAATCTTGAATAAATTATCACCGACCTTCAATTCCAACAACTCATCAATTCTCACTTGATCTTTTGTGAGTATTTGGATTTTAGCCCGATCAAAAGATGATGCAAACTCGCAACTTTTGTCGATTGATAATAATTTGCCCCACTTTGTTGCAATGCTTTTGAAAGTATCCCAATTCCAAGCGTGAAAAGGAATACCTTCGCAAACTAACCACACGCGACGACAATTCACCACTAGGCTCTCGGACCAAGTTTCCACTCTGGAAAACCATTCTGTAAGAGTCTCTAGATAGTCATCCTTCACGATTCTCAACGAATCAGAGTCTTCAAAAACCATTAGAACTACATTTGCAGCAGCCCTCATAAGCGTGAAGCCAGCAAGTCCTTTGGCTTGAATTTGGTTAGCAAGATTACCAATTTTAATGAAGTTCTTGCACCACCCCACAAGACAGTTACTCAGCACGTGTAGCTTATCCTCGTCCACAACGCCCTCAACTTCAGAGAATTTAATCCCCGAAATATCTTCCAGCCCAGACTTACGGCAAACAACAGTCGATGACTTTCTCCAGTAAGATTGTCGGGGTCTGTACTTAGCCAAAGAGACTCTAACTTTGCTTCCATAAATATGATTACCATTCATCTTTGAAATCGCTATCTTGGCTTCTTTAATTGTTGCAAAGCGAATAAACCCAAAACGAACCCCTTACGAGTTTCTTTTTTTGGGAATGAAGGCATCAATAACTTTCCCGTAAGTGCAAAAAATAGACCGAAGTCTCTTCCAATGTATCGTCTCTGGAAGATTTTCAATAAAAATCGTGTAACAACCATTTTTGAACCCATTCCCGAAACTTGGTTGACCTTCTTTCGACCAATTATGAAAACCACTTCTACTCCTTCTCGCTACTTCGAGAAAATCTTCATTAGAGAAACCTTTCATAGTGCTCTCCTTGGTTCCATCTTGATCATATCGGTGTTAGGAAGAGTTGGTACTGCCTGAACTATTGAAAACTTCCCGACCCTATGATTTCCTCCTTGAGAAGAAGACCGACCAATGTCATCTTTTTTAACAGGTGGCTGACAATCCAATGTTGCTTTATCAGAGCACTGCTTCAGAGGATAGGGTGAATGTGGACTGTCACCTGACCTCTCTAAATACGTTCCCAAACTTTGCTGATTTTGGGACGTAGAATCTTTTCTGAAAGTAGTACCGTCGGGCTCAACTGTCCAACCAGCTTCACGAGCCAAGGCAGCTAAAACATCATTCATAGCAGCATTCTGGGGAATAGGGAAATTACCGAACTGCCTCAAACCAGCCAGCAAACGTCTGGTGAAAACTCGTCTGTATCGTTTCCGAATCTTTGCGTTCTCCTTTTCATTCTCCTTTGAACGTTTTTCCTTACCAGAAAAAGATGAAGTGTTTGCAGCGACGAGTCCAGCGGTTTTGAACTGCCTACCTCGTGATATTGTATCCTCCAGCATTTTAAGTTCCTGTTCTCGCTTCTTCAAATCAGCCACAAGAGATTTGAGTTCCTTCACTCTCGCTTCTAAATCCTTGGCTTCAAGAGGGAGAGATGAAATCCTAGTCGTTGAAGGAGGAGCAGAACAATGACCTGCAAAGGATGCATCCACCGCATCTGATGCAGCAGACCTTGGAGCATCCACCACGTCTGTTGCAGCAGACCTTCGATGTCGCCTGGGTTGGGACGGTGGTTGAGGTGCCATGGATAGATCGAAACTTACAGAGCAAAAAGCAACGATTCTTTACGCAAGGAAACGCGGGTTCTGGTCACGGAGAGAAGACGAGTTCGAAGGTGAGACAGTGTCGAACGCTGACGGCGGGATGCGACGGTAGATAACAGAGGAAGCTGTGAAGATTTGCGTCAAATGGCAGTGATTTTCGCAAATCTATGTATGATAGAGAATATCTTGCTATTCTAATGGCAGTATCTAAATGGAGGCATTATTTAGAAAGCAATCCTTTTATCATCAAAACTGACCATGAACCTTTAAAATATTTGCTAGAGCAGAAATTAACTACTGCCATCCAGAAGAAAGAGATGACTAAATTATTGGGGCTGGACTATTCTATTCAATATAGGAAGGGTAAGTCAAATGTGGTTGCTGATGCCCTTTCTAGACAGTGGGAAGATCAAGGTCAATATATGGCTATGGGTACTACCCTAATCATTCCTAGTTGGGTGCAAGAAGTGGAAGACAGCTATAAAGGGGACAAAATGGCAACTAACTGGTTATCTATATTACCAGTAAATCCTACTGCTGACCCTTGGTGGACATACTCTAAGGGTATTCTTAGATTCAAGGGCAAAGTATATATTGGAGGTACTGGAACATTAAGATTACAAATTCTTCAACTCTTACATGATTCACCTCATGGGGGACATTCTGGAACACAGGCTACTTATCAAAGGATTAAGGCTAATTTTTATTGGCCTAAGTTAAAGGCTATGGTGGCAAATTATATTAGAGGATGTACGTCAACAGACTAAAGTATAACATATTCCTAAACCAGGGCTCCTACAACCATTGCCTATTCCTCAACAGGCTTGGGAGATTATTACTATGGACTTCATAGAAGGTTTGCCTACATCTCAGAAGAAAAATTGCATATTGGTGATAGTTGATAAATTTACTAAGTACAGCCACTTCCTAGCCTTATCACATCCTTATACAGCTACTGATATAGCCAGATTGTATTTGGATACTGTTTAAAAACTTCATGGCCAGCCTAAAATGGCCATTTCTGACAGAGACAAGACATTTACCAGTCTCTTTTGGAGAGAACTGATGAGGCAACTGGGCACTAAAACCCTATTTAGTACTGCATACCATCCGGAGACTGATGGTTAGACAGAAAGGGTGAATCAGTGTGTGGAACAGTATTTGAGGGGTTTATGTTTTTTTCAGCCGAAGCAGTGGGCTAAATGGCTGCCACATGCAGAGTGGTGGTATAATACTACCTACCACACTGCCCTTAAGCTTACACCATTTGAGGCATTGTATGGCTACAAGCCTCCTACTATGGTTTGGCAAGCAGAAACTAATGTGCAGTCTGTTAGTGACTTAATGAGAAGTAGAGAAGATATCAGACAGTTAGTGAAGCTACAACTTGAGCATGCAAGTAACAGAATGAAACAACAAACAGACAAGAAAAGAACAGAAAGAGTGTTTGCAGTTGGAGATTCGGTTTACCTGAAATTGCAACCCTACCGTCAGACTTCGTTGGCCCTGCGCAAGAATTTAAAGTTAGCAGCTAAGTTCTACGGCCCTTATAAAGTTATTGAGAAGATTGGTGAAGTTGCGTATAAGTTAGACTTACCAGATTCTTCTAGATTACATCCTGTCTTTCACGTGAGCCTCCTGAAGAAGCACGTCGGGGATTCAATTGTCTCTTCAAGGAACCCCCCTGCCATGGACGATGACGGACAGATTAAAATCGAGCCATATAAGATTATGGGAAGAAGAATCATAAATAGACAAAACAAACCTGTAACGCAGTGGCTAGTGCGCTGGAAGAACCTTGATGAAACCAGTGATACGTGGGAAGATTATACGGTTCTTCGAGGCCAATTCCCTGAATTTGATCCTTGGGGACAAGGATCCTTTCCAGCAGCGGGTATTGTTACAGTCGGAGGAGAGGAACGAGGAGATGAACGGGGAAGAGAGGAAGAAATTGGGGAAACAATTGGGGGAAACAGCGATCTAGGGTTAGGGATTGAGGCTCGAGAGGGAATTGAAAAAGGGAATTTAGGGATTGGAAGAGGACAAAAAGGAATTGAAGCGTTTACCTGATGAAGAGAAGTTACCTGATAAGGGTGCTGGCTTAAGTGGATAGGCCCAAGTCTTCATACGGGAATAGTGAAGCAGCCCAGCTTGGTGGCCCAACAACCTGCAAGGAGAGAAGAATATTAGTCTGTTATAGGTTGTTAATTGTACAGACAGCTGGCTCATTATTAAATGACAATTGGAGCCCTGTAACTAAATAAAATGTTGTCGAATCAATCTGAATGGGGATGTTATGAATGAACTAGCTATTCCTCTCTGAATTCTTTCTAAATTTCTCTCTATTTCTCTTATCTATTCCTCGATTTCTCTTCTAATCGACTTAAACCATAACAAATAATAGATATATATACTGCCAAGTAGGTTAATGGTAATTTCCGAAAACAAATACTTGAACCAAGAGAAATCCCCACACAGAGCAACTATAGACCATAAATATGCATTTATACAATATGTGAAGGGTAATCACTTCTTTCACAAAACCTGAATCTATAACATCAAACAGATGAAATAATAAACATGTAACCAGATTCATACATGTGAAAATTCTTGCTTCAGCCAGTCGTTGTTGAGCACAAGGGTCATACCTGTAACAATATTCTGATACTACGAACCCTTTCTTCTCACATGGTGAAGAACAAGTGGTGAGCCTTCAAACAAATCCAATAGATAGTTTTCTAAATCGTCTGGTGTATACTTAATGTATTTTCCAGCATGTCTTCCACTCTCTAGCCGACTCCCGAACCTCCCGAAGAAGGATCTGTAAGCTGGAATTACTTTCTCAGATATAGATAGTCGAAGCTCTTCACGAAGCTGAGGATCTGGGACTTTTCCAACCAGTTTGAGTCCTATATGTTTCTTCGAAGCATGCATTGAAGCTCTTAAATCTTTCCTTCAAGGTCACCTTGAAGGCATTATTAGAGCTGCTACCAATTCCTTCATCTTTAAGACAATGTAGAGCATTGATCCAACAAGCCCTTAGATAACTCGTGGCATACTGACGTATCTGGCCACTTCGTGTACGAACCCAATTGTCTCCCAAAAGCTTTCTTAGCTCTGAATCCTTCACCTTTTGTACTATATACAGAATATTGTTCATCAAAAATATAAAATGTAAAGCACCGTCTTCGTACAGCTTTGATTTCTCCTCGAGGTTGGTTTCCAAAGACGATGTCAACGACAACAACCGTTTCGCAAACGGAGTCTTGGTCTCCAACTCAATATCTTCACCCTCCAATCCACTAGCTACATCCTCATTATTCTCCAATAATGAATTCAGCATTTCATTATAATCCACAAGCAATGTCACATAATTCATCACATAACGTGTAAGAGGATGAATCTCTCCATTGTGCATAGGTATCTTTGAAGCCTCATTCTTCAGGGCATTCTCGAACTCCATGAAAGTCCCTTTCGCCGCCTCCCCTAATTCTGCCAACACTCCTTTCACCTCGCTACACACAAATTCGTCCATAACCATCATCTTGAAATCCAGCAATGCATCGGCCAACACATCGTACATATCCAGAATCCTAAACAGCTTCTCAGATGATCTTTTTCCAATAGAAACAGCTTCTCCGAAATTCAACAACTGCATTATACACCCTTTTGCTGTTTCATTGTAACATGTCTCTTTGATTGAATCGGAGCCATCGAATATCTGATCACAGAGCCTCTTTTCCCCATACACAAGAACCCTGACAGTAAGCTTAACAGCTTGAATCCATTTCTTCATCTTTTCATCCAATGATTTCCACTCAATCTTTTGAACTTCCTCAATACTCAATTTCTCAACTCCAAGAACTAGCAAACACTCATTCAAAGCATCACGCCTAACATTACAATATGCTTGAACACACTCTTTCTCATACCCAGACCGGATCATCCGGTCCGCAATCTCTTTCAACTCAGTGACAGAATCAGAGTTTATCAAATCCACACATAAATCATCTCCGAAGCTTGCTCCTCGCTCGTGAAAGCACTCTATCTCACTACCGACCTGTGCGAAGCTCTCGAAATCTTCATCAATTTCCACTTCATTCACTGCAAAAGAAAGGGAAACCTTTCGGATTGAACCGTAAAGCCTTTTCGCGTCAAGCGGCACTGAGTTCCTGATCAGAATAAGCCGAAACTCATCTTCTAGCCTCGACATGGCCATCTGAAGGGATGTCTCCGCGCGGTCCATTATTTCGTTATTGGACCGAACCGACATGTTGACAACAGATTTAAGGATCTCGTCAATCGCAGAGAGGAACTCCGCGGTTTCGTCAGGTGAGTCCTCCCAACGAAGAGAGTAGCAGGAAGCGTCGGGGTTCCACCCGAGGATCACTTTCTCGGCAGCGTCAAAACGAACGCCGGTACTGTCGGAGTCGCTAATCAAGCCGGAGATGTTCGACAAGCGGTTATCGAAGCTCGAGAAAATTGAGAGCATGCCTTCACGGACCTCTTTAGGAGTGTTGAGACTGTTAACGATATGCTGAGCCGTTGCCATGACCCTGTCCTCACCACCAGGTCCAAGGCTCGTGGTAGTAGTCGTCGGCTCCATTTCTCCGGTTGTTTCAAAGAGTAGGTAATGATTTGCTCTTCAGTATTGTGGTAAATCGAAACCGCCGCTCACGGTGGTTGGATAAAGGGGAGGAAAGATGAAGTGATGGCGGAGTAAGCAAATTTCAAAGGAAAGTCGAGGTTGTGTACAGTAAATTTCTCTCTAGTTTTAGGTTTTCAACCTCTGCGTTTTAGGCCACTTGGCGCCTATTTCTTGTCTTATCCAATTATTTAATTAATATTGTTTGAAAAATACTATTATAAATACATCATTTCTAAAATATTATTTAAATTATTTAATTTATTCTCAGGGTAAACTACGTATTTACTACCTAAATTATTATTTATGTTCCATTTTTGCACACAAACTTTAGTTTTCTCATAATTATATCTAACGTTTAATTTAAGTTTTATTTTTATTATCTCATCGTTAAAAATTTAATAGTGATATTGACATTCACCATAAGATAATCTCATAATTGAAAAAATATAAAAAATATCACTCAACAATTATGTTAATTGTTTAACAAATGTTATCAAAATGAAATTTAAATTAAATATTAGGTATGATTTAATAAAAATAAAATTTAAATATCAAGACGAAATAAAAATAATAATTTAAATACTAAACTTATAGTTTATCTTTTTTATTATTATATTTTATTTCTAATTTTAAAATTAGAAACATAAAATTTTAGAGTCGAGTTAAAATATTAAAATCTTTTACTAATCTATACAAGCTGATATGTAACGATACATATTAATATTAATTAAAATGGATTGAAATATATTAAAACGAATAAAATATATCGATATTTTTTTTTTTTTTTTGGATAATTAATATATTGATACTTTAATTTTGGACTTTTTTAAAAAAAAGAATGATATGATTGTCACGGTTTAATTATATGCATGCCATCATTACGAGTTTGACGTCTGAGTAACAAAAATTAACGTCCTAAGAATCGAATAATCATTTAAATAATTTACTCTATATAATTTAAAAATAACTAAAAAATATTATTTAATATTCGAACATAGTACTATAAATTCTTAACTATTGGGCTAAATATACTAACCCTAATCCTAGATTGTCCAAGCTCAAATTTCCAATTTTGTCTCCCATTTTAGCCCAAATTTAAATTTATAATTTGGACTCTGTTACACTTAAAACCCAAATTGAATATACAATAAAGATTCTCGCAGCGGTTTTGCAGGTTTTCTTAGATTCGGTCACTAAAACAATTTTTGGGTCTTTAGAGAGGGACACAGAGAGCAACAATGGAGGTGGAATTGAAGGAGATGCTTGATGATCTACTGTCTCTAAGACAATCACTGTCTGATCCTTCTCTTCATGCTTCAATTGACAAGGTACATTTTTCATCAATCTAGAAATATTTACATGCATGCATAATTGTATATGCTTAGATAAGATGTTTCTTTGGAAAATTAGAGGATCTATAGAGTTCGTAGATTTATTGTGTTTCGTACTTGTTTAATTACGAAGAATGAGATTCATTTGGATTATGGGTTTGATCTTTGATGACCTATGTACTACTTTTATGTATTAATTGGGTTTTGGAGGAGAAAGTTCTGACTTAATTTGATAATTTTTTGCATGCGAATTTAATGCATTTTGTGAGATCTACCAGTGAAGATTGGTAGTGTAGTATTGTGTTCGTTTAGCTGATGAATTGGTTCTGTTAGGTGAAGTTCAAATTTTTTCTTTATTTACAACATATAGGAAAAGAATTTCGAGATGGATAACAATATCATGTGTTTTAGTTATTATAATTAAGAAGTTTGTATTTAACATGTTTGAAGTTTGGTTATAACCTGTTATATATGTTTTTCAGCTGCAATCACGTGTTGACCATCTTACTCATCTTGCTAAGTCTGTACCTGTTCGAAGATCAAAAGTCAAGGTTTTTTCTTTCTGTCTTTTTCTGATTATGATTTTTTGATTTTACTACTATTGCATGTCTAATAATCTGGTGGCAGGATATGAGTTCCGAGGTGGTTGATAGCAATCCCTATAGTAGGCTCATGGCACTTCAAAGAATGGGTATTGTGGAGAACTATGAAAGGATTCGGGAATTCTCAGTTGCCATAGTTGTATGCCTTTCTTTTCTGCTTTCTAGATGTTGTTTCAACAATGTTTTGCCTAACACATACTTTTAGTCCCACCATCTTGTTGTAGATTGAAAATTCTTTTTCCCCGATTTAGCTCTCATTGATAATCGTCTTGAACTTGCAGGGTATTGGTGGTGTTGGCAGTGTTGCAGCTGAGATGCTAACAAGGTGCGGTATAGGCCGCCTTTTGTTGTACGATTATGACAAAGTGGAGTTAGCTAACATGAATAGGCTATTCTTTCGCCCTGAGCAGGTGAGCATGTGTTTCCTTTTCCATACTATTTCATTGTGACTTCTAGTTGGAAAATGCCACTCTTCATGAAATAGTGAGT